TAGCTGTGCTCTTGCCATTGCTGCTTCTCTCCCCCACTCCCAAGTCTCTCTCTGGCTGTGGCATAGGCACAGCTTCCAGTTGGTGGGGAATTGTCCCGGCAGCTGGAAGCTGAGTCCCCGCTGCTGCTGCTTCTCCTTCGCCCCATTCCCTTCCTCTTCCCCTTGCCTTCTAGTTCCCTTTTAAGTTGTTTTGTTCTCCTGTTTTAGAAATTATTCTGTTCTCTTAAGGATGACATATGAGACAAATAAAAGCTGAAGAAATCAAATCCATTTTTTTCTTCATATTTCACCCCCTTCATCCTCTCCCTTTTTTTTCCTTTTGGAAAAGGGAGAAAAGTTTAAAACTGAAAATATTTTGGTTCCTGGAGTGTGAGTGCTGGCCTCTTGGTTCTACACAAGAGCATCTTTCTTACTGCTACACATATGCAAGCATACACTCTTGCAGACAAAATTATTCCACGATCCTCACAACATAATGCCCGAAATAGGAGAGAAGTTTGAGGAGGTTGCTAAAATGGTAGGGAAAACAGACATTCAAAATGTAGGAGATTAATGTTCAGTGCATAAAATGTGCTCAGGGATACTGCATGGTATGAAAACTCCTGTCATCATAGGAATTTAAAGTCATTTGTTTCTGTGATTGCCAGGTGAATAGGACATCGGTGTCTGGTCTGCCACGCTGCATGGTGGTAGACCTTCTCCGCCAGGCTCAAGGAATTGTTCAGCTCATGGTCTGCCGAAGCACAGCTTTGCACCGGGCTTCTTCAGGCAGCCACAGCAATACATCTTCCCCCCTGAGCACAGCAGCACAGTCAGGTAAAACCCACTGCACTGAAGTGGGAGTCTGTTATTTGCACCTGAATCTCCCATTAGTAGCACTGATATAACACCATTGACTTCAGAGTCACTCCTGTTTAAATGAATAAAATCATGTCTTAGCCTCGTAGCCCTTTGTGTGGATCTAGCCTTGGGTGACTTGCCCCGGGTCACACAGGAAATTACTGCATGAAGAAACAAGTCAGCTTTGGTCTTCTGAGTTCCCAGCTTGTGTGCTATCCACTGGATCATTTTTCCTCAAGGGCACCTATTTTGCTTTGCTTATGTTACCTGTGAAAGGCTCCTTCCTGAAATAAGAGTTTCTAACATCGGCTGGGCCACGGGGCTGCCAGGGGAGCCTGACAGTGATGTCACAGACACCCAGGGAGACGCTTCCGCAGGAAGGTGCAGCAGTTGGTGGCAGTTGAGGACCGAGGAACGGGCAGGGGGGGCTGCCCAGCCAGGCTGGGAGCAACGAGCCCCTACAAGTCATCACTGGGAAGCTGAGTCAGATAATGGGAGCTGCTTATTTAATCATTCCTATCTCTTTCTTTGTCCTTTGGAACTGAGGTTCCCGTGGCAGGTACATGCCCAGCCTTTGAGATGTATTTAAAAGCTTTTTCTCCGATGGGCTAAGGAGCTGCTTTGGGCATGGGCCAGGAAGGAAGGGGTTAACTCCTCCAGATTGCCTTCAGATTGGTTACAGGGCCAAGTGGGGCATGAAGGGCAAAAGCGTCCACATAAACAGCCCAAGTAAATTTCTGGTCTTGCTACAGTTTGTGGCAAAACTCTTACTGGAGCTAGGAGTTTCTCTAAGTTGAAGGAAAAGGTGATCTTTAATATGGGGCCTGTGCACCCTTTTTGGGTTGGACTGGTGTAGGGTGGTTCAAATAGTATCCTCATGTGCCAGTAAAACTCACTGGTGTTCTGGTTGGGTTTGCCAGAAAACAAAGCTGGGTTTGTCTCTTTTGGAGCGCTCCAGGTTGTCTTTCCTATAGAGCACCTGGGAAAGGGGAGTTTGTTGCCAGTGTCTGCTTCTGCCTCTGGTGGAGTTTCCAGGCCAGGGGCACAGAAGATGTGAATCTTTGGTTGCAGAGACATTTTTCTATGATGCCACTTTCCTGCTTTCAGATGACTGTGGCGGTGAGCGAGGCCCTGGAGACCGGCCCAACTTCACTATCAAAGGAGAGGAAGAGCAATCCAGTCAGATGTGCAGCAAGGTGATGTCCGCAGGACATGTCTAGAAATTATCTGGCAATGTATTTGCATCTGTCTTCTGGGAATGGATTAATGAATTAAGGGGCTACAACTTGCTAGTGGAGAATAAGCCATGATCAGGAAAATGTGTTATGGCAAAGCTGACAGCACTTTGTAATAAGGCAGGGATCTGGTAGAAAAAATAATATGTGAACATGTGATTAGAGTCCAGGGATGGGCAGAGCCTGGCTGGTGGGCTGGATCCAGCTGGCCGTGAACTCCATTTCCCAGTGGCCCCTGCCTGCATGGCTGGGGCCGGTCTGCATAGAGACCCCAGCCACAGCTGTGCTTTGATAATGCAAGGTTGGGGTTGTTATGGAGGCAGGGCAGGGGGCTGCTCCGAAGCCACTGGGATCTTGCAGTGGGGGCAGCTTGGTCCAGGGCCAGGGCAGAGCTGCGATCTGCAGCCTGCATGCACCAGGCAGGGGCACGCAGGTAGTGATAGTGGCTCTGCCCCAGAGTGCGAACACGCTGTCACCACTGCAAGGAGCTGGGGCAGAGCCATGATCTGCTGCCTGTGTGCCCCCGCCTGGAGCATGCAGGCTGCAGATCATGGCTCTGCCCTGGCCCCGACCAAACTCCCAGAGGCTCCGGAGCAGCCCCCTGCCCTGCTGCACGCCCTGCCAGCACAGCTGGGTCTTCATGGCAACCCCAGCCTTGTGCTATCACAGCACACCTGTGACTGGGGTCTCCATGGAGACTGGCCCCAGCCATGGGTCTGCAGTGTGATGCAGCTGCACAAAAGGCGAATGTGGTTTTGGGATGCAGCAATAGAAGCATTAGGTCCAAGACATGGGAAGTGATAGTGCCTCTACCGAGCACTGGTTAGACCTCACCTGGAGTAGTATGTGCAATGTTGGGCTCCACATTTTGGGCTCCATGGAGAAGCTGGAGAGGGTCCAGAGGCAGGCAACAAAGATGATCAAAGGCTTGGAAAGCAAGACAGATGAGGAAGGACTGAAGGAGCTAAGCATTTTCAGCTTGCAGAAAAGGTGCTTAGGAGGGGACTTGATAGTAGTCTTTAATATTTGAAAGACTGCCATAAAGAAGGAAAGTACCTTTTCCCTCTTGCTACAGAAGGGAGGATGTGGACCAATGGCTTGAAGTTGCAACAAAGTAAATTTAGCTTAGATATCTAGAAAAACTTTTTCACTATAAGAATAGTGAGGCAGTGGAATAGACTGTCTATGAAAGTTGTGGACTTTACATCACTGGAGGTGTTCAAGAAGAGGTTGGACAGCCACTGGCTGGGGATGATCTAGGAACAGCTATGTCTGTGCTACATTGAGTGTTTCCCATGCTTCTGGGTTTTGCTGGTTGCCCCCTTCCCCTTTTTCTGTTACATGTCTCACAATCATAGGTGGAGGGAGAAATTTTTTTGAGGGGGGTTGAGCACATGTGTGTGCCCCCCCAGGTGGGAAAATCTGCAGGGGAAGGGGCAGGGGGAGGGGAAGGGCTGGGGCTGGGGTGTCTGGTACCAGGCATGGATTGGGAGGAAGTGAAGCTGAGCCGGGCCCAGGATCAGGATTGGGGTCAGGGCCTGCTGCACCCATCTGGCCACCCCTTCCCCTGCGACTGGGGTATCTGCCCGGCACCAGCGCGCCCTGCACCAACAAATCCACCACCTCCCAGCTCTGCACTGCCTCTGGCTACCTCCCTGCACTGGCCCTGGCCTTGCACCACTGGGGAGAGGGTGGGGGGCAGAGAGCGGCCAGCCTCGGCTGCACTGCCAGGCTGGAGGGAACAGAGCCCCCAGGACCACCGTGTCCAACCTGCCTTGCTTAGAGTCATCCACAGGAAGAGCCCAGCACAACCCTGGCCCTAGCTGCAGCCTGCAGCGGCAGCCTACCCTGCCCAGCACAGATCCAGGGGCACACATCTCCATGCTTCCAGGGGTGCGCGTAGCAGCAGGAGCCCTGCCCCCTGTAAGAACCGCTTATGCCTCAGTCCTGCGCCCACCCAGCTGTGCAGCACCTGCCCCAGCCCCAGCCCCACTCCCTGCCTAGAGGATCTGGCCCCTTCACTTAGGATCAGACTGAGTGCCATATTTGGGGTCAGGAAGTATCTCTACTCTATGGTCAAATGGGTATGGGGGGCTTTGACTTCCTCTGTAGCAGGGGGCATGGCCCTCTACCTGGGATCTCTTGAGCATATACTGACAATATTTCATAGAAGCAGGATGTTGGGTGCCATGTTCTCCTGATTTGTGTGCAGCAGGCTAGGATGTTAGGTCTGGAGTCCTGGTGTTGCATGCGGGTTAATGGTAGTCTTATGTAGAGTTTAGGTAATGGATTGTATAGGATGATTTGGATAGGGATGATTCTTCCTTAGGCAGGGGGTTGACTAAGTGACCTCTGGAGGTCTCTTCCAGCCCCACTTCTCTATGACTGTATGATCCAGTACTGCAAAATTAGCTCCAATGCTTTTACAACTTGCGTATGTAAAAGGCAGATGCCCTGTATCATAATCTAAATGCAGAATGGTCTCTTTTGCTGTATGCTACTGTCCTCAGCTGACACCAGTACTCCCTCTGGTGCTACCTGCAGCCTCTTAGGGCTCATAGCTGGGCTTTGGCCCTCTCAGCTGGAGCCCACTTATGCTGCCTTTCCCCTTTTGAAGTGTTCAAGACCCGGTGTGTCCCAGGCACCCTTCTCAGGGGCCTCCACCTCCCCCACAGCTACAATCTGGTTTTCTGGTGCAAACTTCAGTACAACAAAATATAAGTGTCTGCTCCCAAACAAAAGGCTTCCCCCAACTCTGGGTCAATGTCAAGCCATGAAAACAAGCTGAATATTTGGCCAAAATACTTAGCTTAGCTGCCTAGTGATGCAGGGACTTCCTTGCAACTCCATATGGTCTGGAGTCCTTCTCCCTTAACAGGTCAGACCCTCGCCCCTGCAGAGGCCTCAGCCATGGTCCTGGTTTTATAAGGACTCTAACCTCTCCTTTGGGTCACCTGATCGACCACTACCTGCATTGTGAAGGCTGCATCTGGGGCATGCGGCCATTTTATTAAAGGGCTCTCTGCCTCTATTAGTCCCTCCAGAGGGTTGGAGTGAGCCAGTTTCTCCCTGGCTCCTCTTTTCTTCAGTAATGGGGTAGGGGTCCCATTACAACTAGTTAAGTGCTGATTCCAGAGACCAGCAATACCTTACCATTAACAGCTCCATCATTTGGGGGTAAATAGACATCTACTTTCTTACACATCATGTTTCCCTAAATAAGACATGCACTTTGTTTTGGGAAAGCAGAATGAAGCAAAAAAGATTTTCCTAGAATCTTACTGGTTATGGCATGGGCTCGCTATGGCTGAATGCTGGTCACATGCAGAAGGGTGGAATCCCATCATCTGTGCCACTCACCCTCTGGCTGTAGTTGTATAGCCTGAAGTTTTAAGGCTGTCCCAGCTGCTGAACCAACTCAGGCATAGCTGTGACAGGGGGCATGTGGCGTGCAAACTTCAAGCTGTCCAGCTGCAGCCGGTGAGGGACACTGATAACAGGACTCTGTCACTCCTACATGTGTCTGGGAAGGAAGCAGATACCCTGGCAGCCATTCTAGCATCCATGGGTACCTATACAGGTGCAGGTATATAACCTGCTTACAACTGGTCAGTCTGGAGAAGCCGGGTCAAGGCTGGTGCAGTCACTGTGGAAAGCCATCAGAGAGCCCAGGCTGAGGTCCGCAGGTGAGCCAGGAAGCAGAGTATACTTCAGCCTCCATCTGACCAAGTGGTCCTGTAGCCACTGTGGGAAGGTTTGCCACTTGTGCATTGGGCTCTTCTTCCACACCATTGCCAAGCACCACTGATTAACTGACTTTGTCACGTCTCCTTTCATCTGTCAAGATGTTCGACAGCCTGAGTAACTTTTCTGCTTTACTTAAAACAGTTTAGGTACAACGACTTAAAACTTAATAGACATTCTATGGCTTGGTGTGAGTTTCGTGCCTTGCTGTAATTCTCTAGAGTAGGAGGCAGGGGGTGCGGACACGGCACAATGCAGCCTGAGGCCATGGGGAAGCCCCATTAAATACATGTGCAATAAAGGCCAACTAGGTAGGCTAAAACGCCCTGCTGCAGGTTGCCTTACATTTAAAACACATATAACAAGGTTTAATCAAGGCAACTTCCACCATTTTAAAAACATTCTAAAGTTGCCCACGTGTATTAAGTGATGGCTTTAGAATACTTTAAATGGTGAAAATCATCATGTGTCTAGGCACCTTAAGTGCCTGCATTCCAGCGCAGAAATCAGCTTCCTCAGTTAGAACACACAGCCCAATTATGGAGGCCTATTATTTGGGCGGAAAGGTGCACATGGTGTGCAAATAAATACAGAATTTGGGTGGGGGGGGATAAAAATACCTTTGGTATCTCAACAAAGGGAAATTAAAGAGCACAGTGTCAGTTAAGACTTGTAAGTAATTGTGCTCAGTTTGTGAGGGTGGAGAGGAATAATTGACACAAACTCTTCCAGGGTTCAGTGATTTTTGACAGATTGTGTATTTACAGAATCATAAGATTGGAAGGACTTCAAGGGTCATCTAAACCAATCGCCTGCACAGATGTAGGATGAGCTATTCCTTACCTGTCCTAGATACATGTCCCTCTAGCCTTTTTAAAAAAACCTTCAGTTAAGGCAATTCCACAGCTTTCCTAGGCAGCTTGTGCTTTTGTTTTGCTGCTTTTATTTTTTTTTATCTGAGATTTAATCTAAATCTATTTAGGTTCTGCAATGCTGAGTCAGTCATACATTTAGTTCTGAAGGGGAACCTATTCTATCCATTTCCGTTTTCTGACTTTGACAAAAAAAATACCTTTTGTCAGAAGAGAAACAATTGTCAGTGAAATGAGCTATGTTCTTGCTGCTTCCTTCTGGTGATTTTTAATTTTATTTTTATTTTTTTCTTATTTTGTTTCTATAGGATTCAGAAAGCAAATGTAGTCCCCCCCTGCAAGATCATTCAGCAGAACAAGTTTATCAGGACGTTACCAATGTTGCTGCAGGCAGGTAAATGTTTCCAGCACAAACATTCATTATATTGTATAGCAGGATCAGCTTATCCTTTCATGTCTTTGAGCAGTCTATACTTATGTCTGTATAATTCCTGCCCTCCTACAGGACAGTTCAAACTATATTTATTCAGCACTACTGAAACTGCAGTGATTTCTGGGGTGGGGAATGCCCACATAGTAGTGCAAGGAGAGCAGATTTTAGATCAGGACTCTAGAGCACACATTGCATTTACAGAATGCACCATATGATTCATATTGTCCCTGTGGCCTGACTTTCAGACATGCTGGTTTCATTTACATGTGACGCTATGTTGCTGTAGCAATGTGCTACAGTGACAAAGCATCCGCAGGGGTCTACACATGGGGGTCTACAATACAGGCTGTTACTGTGCCATGATTTACTACTTTGTTTTGGAAGAACTAAATCGCAGCACAGTAAAAACATCACCATAGCGACATGTATAAATGTGCTTGCTGTGCACATTTAGCTCCCACTAACATCACTGGGTGTGACTGGTTTGTCTTGACTCTAGCTTTGGAGTCATTTTTTCAGTAATCAGAAATAACATCCTGTGACACAGGTCACCAATCACATGGAATAACTAGTAAATAGTAAACAGTGCATTCATGCAAAGAGCTTGTGAGTAAGGTACCAGGTACATCCACACAGCAATCCAGACATATGGCTACAACTCAAGAAGACATACTCCAGTTATATTTAAATTAGCTAGTGTGGGTAGTGAAAGTAATGTAGCCCTTGCAATATGGAACTCAGTGGGCGCGTCTACATGAGAAGCTACTGTGCAGTCGTTACTGTGCATGTATTTAGTGCTTGTAATAGCAAGTACTAAATAAATGTGCAGTAACTGGAGTTACTGTGCAGTGAATGTTTTTTACATAATGCTACTGCTCAGTAGCCTAATAATACTGCTCAATAGCATATTAGCACTGTCTGCGCTGTGATGCACTGATGAGCAGTATTTTTTGGTTACTGTGCAGTCAGTGTCTCGTGTAGACGCACCCAGTGAGGACTAGCTGACTGAGTATACACCAAGTGTTCGGGCTGTAAAAATTGCCCTGGACGGAGCTCCATGTGGCTGTGGCTCCAGTGGTAAGCTGTACCTAAGCTGGTTCATTTAAAAGCAACTGGTGTATTACTGCATGAAGTACAGTAATGTCTTCATTTGCAATGTAGACCTACCCACTGACTGAAATATTTTATGCCTTTATTGGAAACATTCATGGACATGAACTGGAAAACAACATGTGAATCAGCCATTTTCCTGCTGTCAAAGTACGAGGTGGCATTTTGGTTGAAGGTTTGAGTGGACTGGTACTTTTCCCCAAACCAATGAGGACCATCTCCAGTACCAGGAGAGAGAAAAAAATACCTTTGCTTACACTGAAGAGCACAGGGAATGCTTTTTCCTTGTAAAATTAACAACACAAGAAATAATCACTTCATAATTAAGACAACAGACTAAAATCCTGAGGAAATTTGAGCATTTGCTTTCATTGGCTAAAAATCTGCTACCATTTAGGAATGGATTCAAGCTGAATGAGTGGTTCTGGACCCAAGCTTCCCTAAAGCTCTGTTTTTATATACATCTTAGAGTTCTGAATGTAGAGTTTTAGACCATTAAAACAAACTAGATAGCCTTGACATTCAGATTTGGATCCAGACTTCCCCACATTCAGATCTATTTTGATTGTAGCTTTTGATTCGGCCTTTGATTCTGTTCACTGGGGATAGCCAATCTGCAGCATGAGTGCCACAAATAGCATGGGCAGCCTCTGTGTGTGGCTTGTGATAGATCAGAAGGGGATACACAGCACAGCGGCAAATAGGGCAGGGAGCAGAAAATGGATCAGTCAGGAAACAGAAAGCAGAGCAGCAGATCAGGCAGGAAAAGGGGATTGGCGTGACACTTGGGGAGGGTGCAGGACTCCTTTGAGATACTTCTGCCAGAAAAGTTGGCCCTCATTACTGTACACCATGATGTCAAGCGTATGGTGTTGATGTTTATTATAAGTATTGCTACCAGGTATTCTTTATCTAAAACTTTTGAAGACCCTATTTTCTGGTGGATATAACTTTAACTGTTGTTATATGGACAGTCTATTAATACAGTTCTTTTGGATGCATCTTCTCATCCAGTTAATTTTATGGAATTTCATTTTTAACAGCTACTACTGTAATCAGCTGTATGTATAGGCACTGCTGTAAATACAGACAAAAAACCCCAAACCTTTTGCTCCTGGGATTTCATAGCACTCAGTGCTTATACCAGTGCTTGAAATCAGAAGGTTCAAGAAAGGTATGAGCAAAAGTAGAACTAAGAAATTTTTGCAGTTCTAACTGCAGTAAAGGCTGCCATTTACAACAAAAACAAATACTTTTCAGATCCCAGATATACACTGGGCATGAAAGCAGCTTTAGGAGAAACAGCCAGGAGTCTGAATCAGACAGCTGGAACAATGAAGATGATGCGTCTCGGCGGATTTCCATTTTACCTAGAGGTAACTGTAAGATGCTCTCTTTTCCCTAAAATATTAGGCCAGAACTCCAGCATAGCTCTAGCACTGTCAATACTATTATGCCTGCGCACCTGCTGATTTGGTTCCATGGAGCTTACCTGAAGCAACAGTCATCTCTGTTTTTATCCTGGCTATGAGAACTTCAGGCATAATTTTAAGTGCATTTAACATGTATAAAGTGTAACTTGTGATATGGCCCTAAGGATTCTTTTAACACCCTCTGGGCACATAAATGCCCCCTCTTAGGAACAGAGAGACATCTGTACATCTCCAAAGGGTGATTATATTCCTATAATAGGGGCACTTAGATACACAGAACAGGTAATAAATAGGGCTGTGTGAAGCTTCGCTGGCTGTCTTGTTTTGATGCTGTTTTGACTTGTTTTGAGCTCAAAACAGCGAAATCGAAATGAAACGAAGGGCTTCGAAACAGCCTCGAAGTGAGGGCAGTTGAAACATTTTGAAAGTTTTGAAACATTTTGAATTTTGAAGCAGCCAGCTGGTGGAAGGTAGGGGAGAGCCAGGACTGCACTCTGAGTGGCTCCGCAGCCCCATGTGGCTCAGTCTGGTGGGGAGCACAGCCCTGGCTCTCCCTGTCTCCTGCCACTGGGCTGCGCTCTGGAAGCTGAGCCTGGTGGAGGGAGATGGGATGCTGGGAGCTGATCCCAGTGGAGGGAGGCCACCGGGTTGCACTCTGTGGGGCTGGCAGAGCCAATTGGAGAGCAGCACCGGCTCTGCCCCCTTCTTGCCACTGGGCTGTGCTCTGATTGGCTCTGCCAGCCCATGGAGCTCATCCCGGTGGCGGGAGGTGGGGTGCTGGGAGCTGAGCCCGGTGGAGGCAGAGTGCAGCCCTGGTGCTGCACTCCATTTCCCCTGAACGGGCTCAGTTCCATGGGGCTGTGAGCTGCTGGGAGCTGAGCCTGGTGGAGGGAGGTGGGGCATAGCGCTGGGGCTGTGCCTCATCTTCCTCCGCTGGGCTCAGCTCCATGGAGCCACTCTGGGTGTGAGCTGTGCCCAGCACCGGTCCCAGCCAGCAGTGGCAGTCTCCCTCCTGCACCCCTGGGAGGACTGCAGGACTCTACCAGACTCCTTCTGGGGGTGTGGGCCCTCGATCTGCCTGCTGGATCCCAGGATATGGAGACAGCCTTGAAACTAAAATGTTGAGAATCATGGATCTAGCTTGTGCCACATATGGGTGGCAGGGGCAAGACCTCATCCTGCTGTGCCCTTCTCTTTCCACTGTCTGCCCCTTCCCAGCTCCTTGTCTGTACCTCAGGGGACAAGGGAAGTCCCTGCTGCTGGGACTGCTCCTGCAGGGTCCTACATGCAGGCAACCGTACCTGCAGCCCCTACTTTTGGCCCTGGGACTATGAGAGTGGATGGGACAAGCTGGGCTGCAAACCACAACTCCATCTATGTGAATACCCACCCACTCACTCACAGCAGAGCATGTAACATCAGTCCCAGCCCCTGATACGGGTGTTGGGGTGCAGCTGGGGGTGGGGAAGGGAAGGAGAAGGCGGTGGTGGCAGCAGTGGCAGTCCTTAGAGAAGCAGCTGCAGGTGTTGCTGGAGTAGCTGGGCCCAGTGGAGGCACAGGGTGTTGGACAGTGGAGGAGACCATTTGCCTCCTCACAAAAAGGGATCTTGTGGCACACTACCATTGCTCTACATGGTACACTGTTGTGCCACAGCACACCTTTTGGGAATTACTGGCTGAGGTTATCCTGCTTCAGAAATGTAGGCCTTGGAGATATCCTGTGACATAATTGGACAAACTGAGATATTATTTGTTGCAGAATGTCATGACATTCACTGCATAAATTAATAATCAGCTATATTTGCATATTTGATAAACTGAGTAACCACAATAAATAAAGTGATAAGTAGATGCCTAATTGATTTGAATAATTTTGAAAATCATGTTTAAACCCAGAAGATCAGTAG